GCAGGATATAAAATTCCTCTCTTTTCATAAAGGCACACAGTATGTAAACTGTTATTTGAACAATAGCCCAACACCTGCATTAACAAACAGAAGCCTGCTAAAAAACACTCTTCCTTAAGTCATGACAGGAGCCATCTGTTCACCTAGCTAACCCAGGGCAAGCATGGCAGGCACTACCAGTTTGCTTATGGTATTCACCCTCATACTCCAGTGCAGATTTGTGTTTACAGATGGCAATAACGCAGCATTAAGTCACACCAACAAAAGTCTTCAACGCACACCCCTACAATGAAGGGCTCCAAATGGCAAAGGATATTCCCACTGGTCTTCAGTTAAAGAACACAAGTGGACCACAGCCTTGTAGGCATTCTTCCTATAAAATCTTGGGCATAATACAACCCCCTAAGACTCAGATGAAACTTCTAGAAGGCAGGCATTCTTTATTACAGCACTGGTGTACAAGGGACAACTCCTCCTTGTGCGCATGCAGTAAGCGGCGTCAGTCAAGGCTCCGTTACCCCAGTTCATACAGATGTAGTGGATGACCACATGAATTCATAATACCTGCCTCTTAATTATGCACACACTTTGAGCATCCTAGAACGTTCTGTGAGGGTCTTTGGTGATTTTCAATGGTTGTTCTGAGGTTTCCTTTAGAGGAACTTTCCAGGTGTGCATTCACACTATTGGCTTGCTTATATTACACCTGGTTTTGTTCTTTTCCACCACTAGTCTCAACCAGCCCACACCATGAACCTCCCACCTTCACACCCAGAGTGTTTCAAAGCCATTAAGACAAGCAACATACAAGACAACCAGTGAGATTCAACTGGAACTCTGTTTTGCCCTATGGACTAATACAACAGCATGGCCATGTTAAAATTCTGCAGTTATTCTTGCCCCACCAGACTTGTTACTTTTTTGTCTTCCTTCCTATTCTATGCTTTTTTTATACCTAGAGTAGTTATTCTACTTCTTAAAAGAACACCAAATTGAGTTTACACAGTGGATGCTATCAAAACCTCAGTTTTCATTACTTTAGTGCTTATGTTGAGGACTACCAGATTAGGTCCTGTCACTCCAAAAGTCAGTGGCCCTACTGAAACGAAGACCTCACCATGCATCTCACCCATGCAGCTGTACGAGCTGCTCCCACTAGTGAAGCTGCAAGCAGGTTGCTCGGCCCCCGCTGGCAAGCAGGTTGCCCGGCCCCCGCTGCTGCGGGCACCCCCCGGACCCGAGCTCAGGAGCAGCCGGTGCCCGCTGGAGCCCAAGGCGGCTGCCTCAGCTCCCCGTGTCGAAACCAGCACCGGGAGGCGGGGAGAGGCAGCGGAGCCCTCGCCGAGGGAAGGGAAGAAGCGAGGATCGCTCCGTACCTGACCCAGTTGTCGCGGAACTTGCTCTGCTGGGGCTGGTTCAAGTAAATGGTGCGGGCTGGTGCCTCGTCCAGATCCGCCGAGGACGTGGCTCCAGACATCTCATCATCCGCCTTCTTGTAGCCCGCCGGGGAACAGACAGGTCCTGCGGGGAGAGCGCAGACGGTCAGCGAGGGGCCGCGTCCGGGCGGCGAGCGCACCCT